GGTATTTATGCCGACTTTTGCCAAGATAAGTCAGCTCGAAAAAAGCAGACTTCTCTTCTTTCCTATGTTATTGGGTTGTATATGTCGTGCAACACAAATTGGAGCCTTGTTGACCATGTACTTATTCCAAATAGAATGTCCAATTCAGCTCATTGGATTTTGTGTCATTTCGACATTCAACATATGTGTCTTAATGTATATAATTCGTACATGGTTGTGAGAAAGGCATTAGTACTTGAGGCTATTAAACCATTTTGTGATATTATTCCTCATCTTCTCTTTCATATTGGCTTCTTTGAGGGAAAGGGCATTTCAGAAGAAGAAGCTTTGAAACCATTAGTTGTAAAAATGGTTCCAAAACTTTCATAACAAAATAACGGGTAAGTTTATTTCTAATGATTTTTTTTTTCATCTGACATTCTAGTATGAAATTATCTAAAGTACTTTTCATTATTTCATGCAGTGGAGATTGTGGAATTTATGTAATTAAATATGCCCAGTACTTCATTAATGGAATGTTAAATGAGATGCCAACGTCTTTTAATGTTCCACACCTTAGAAGAAATTTGGCAACTCAATTATATGCTTATGGAAAGAAGAATGAATGAGAGGAATATGATACAGATAATGAATTGGTGTCAAAGGAGATGGAGTAGCTATATCCTGATGTGATAGAGAAGTAGGTGATTTTGAGGAAGTGAAGAAACATGTCTTGTTTTTGTAATGACATGTCTTGATTTGTAATGACTGATTTGATTTGGTTGGTAGTTGATGTTTTGTGCATAATGACTGATTTAGGGAAAAGTGGCAATGTTAATGGTGATAGACAATTTCAATTGTTAGACTGATTTGGTAGAACATGTTTTTTCTTTTACAACGTCAATGGAGCAGGGATATTGGTGATGTAGCTTCTAACATGCCAGCTTGTATATCACTTTTTTTAACATACTAGTTGTTTATATGTCACTTGGTATAAAAATATTCTACTATTCTAGGGTCAGCTTGTATAATGTCGCCTCTCCTACAAAAAAGTAACATAATGTCACATTTTTAACAAAAAAGTGACAGTGCGTCACTTTTTCTAACAAAATGCATTATTTGTCAATAAGTATGCTTTTTAAAGATGTGTTTTTATGAAATTTTGAACACTCTTACAATATCAATGGAGCAAGAAATAATGTCAAATTTTTAACAATATGTTATCTGACTATAGCTTTAAACACAATCGATTCTTTTATGTCCAAAAATTGATATAATGTCGTATTTTCAACAAAAAATTGACATAATATCGCATTTTCAACAAAAAATTGACATAATGTCCCTCATCAACAAAAAAGTAACATAATGTCACATTTTAACAAAAAAAAAAGTGACAATGTATCGCTTTTTCTAACAAAATGTTAAATTATTTGTCAATAAGTATGCTTTTTAACGATATATTTTTGTGAAATTTTGAACACTCTTACAATGTTAATGGAGCAAGGAATAATGTTATATTTTTAACAATATATTACTTGACTCTAGCTTTAAACACAGTAATTTCTTGTATGTCAAAAAAGTGACATAATGCCACTTTTTCAACAAAAAAGTGATACTGTGTTACTTTTTGTTAAAAAAGTGACATTATGTCACTTGTCAATTAACCAAATGTGGATTCAATGTCAATGGAGTATGAATACATTGTCACTTGCACATACATACAACAAAGAATTTTTAAACAAAAGCCATCAATTTCTACTGTCACTTTTTTCTAACAAATTCACATAGATAATAAATTTTAAAATCGACATTTTGCTTAAAGTATTTTTGTAATTCTTAGAATATTTGAATTGAAAAATGAACAAAACAAAAAATATCAAATAATCTTGTTTATATATCTTCTAACTTCCTTTTCTTTTGTGGTTTCTTTTTTGCCTTTGGTGGATTTTGACATAATCTATGATTGTGACCATAATTTTCACATCTTCCACATTTTACACTTTGAATTCTCTCATTTTGATGGTATTCTTTTTTCTTTAGGTCGTCCAGATTTTCTTTTTGGGTTAAGAGCCAAGATTATTCTTGCTCTTACCTCATCCGGTACATTCTACTCATTATGATCTCCTAGTGAAAAATTTGATGCACTATATATTTTGTTGACCACCAAACTCCGATCTCATGAAATTTTTCCTGGGGCCCATCTCTCTCAGGTGCGAATTCGGGGCTTCTACAACTCGGATTCGACCCGTCGTAACCTTTGAAAACATCATTATTACCCATTGTCACACCAACTTCTCAAATCAATACACTTGTCAGTAGTGACATCACCACTGCTCCAAAACCACCAATCCAAAGCTCAGAATCTCAAGTCCCTTGCTGGTCATCATTACCTGGAGAAAACATTGACACATGGCCGCCGACTTCATCGACCAATCACAGGAGAATTCGGCGACCTGAGTTCCGAGCTCAGCACTGTAGTTGATTTGACTGATTTGATGTAATTTCGGCTAAAGCCATGTATAAATAATGGAGTAGAAGTTTTGAAAAGGGGACGGACAAGAAAAAAAGATCATAATTCGATCACATCTTCTCTGTATAGTTCATAACCTGATTTAGCAATAGATTGCCCTTTTTTCTTAAAGTTGGCTCGAAATTAGCCTTGCAAATTTCGACGTCAACAGTTTGGCGCTAGAAGGAGGGCCCCAATTGTGAAAAATAGCCCCACTCTCCCCACAAAACCCGATAAACATGAGTCACAGCTCCAGTTCTAGAAACCCATCTCACACCCACCCTTATGAAACTAATACTCCACCAAGTTCTCCACGACGACAGGACCCACAAATGATCGCCATGAAGAAGCCCTAGAAAAATTAACAAATGCAGTGGGACGATTAGAACAAAGCCAAGCCCACTTGTCCCCCCAAATACCGAGGTGGAATCCCCTACAAGGACAAGGGCAAGACGTCCTCCCACCAAAAGAACTCTCCATTTTTCAAGAGGAGAATCCTCAAGAAGCCAAATTGATGAAGTCAAAAGTAAGGATCTCCTGATAAGGAAGACTGGCAGCGTATTTGACAGATTGGGGATGCAGCACTCGCTAACCCCTACACGAGGACAGGCTGGTTTTGACCTTAAACGTCCTCTGGAACAGACAGACCCCGAGCTGAGCACGCTGAAAAGGCACATCGCTGAGCTGGAGGCCAAAAACAAAGGTGGCACTGAATATTATCTCACCAAGCAACATTCCCATTTACTGAGGATGTCCTCATAAACCATTGCCCGAAAAATTAAAGATTCTTCAGATGGTCGCGTACGAGGGAGATGGAGATCCCCTCAGCCAACTTGACAAGTACACCTCATGGATGGAGCTGCAGGGGGCAAGCGACGCCATCATGTGCCGAGCATTCCCCCTAACTCTGAGAGACAAAGCTCAGAGGTGGTTCAGGAGACTGAACCAGAGGTCGATAAAAAATTGGAACGACCTAGCTACAACATTTTTAGCATAGTTCATGGGCTCCAAAGCCAGAACCATGCCCAAGGAGCAGTTAGTAAGTATCAAACAAGGAAAGAGTGAACCCCTCAAAGGCTACATGAGCAGGTCTAACAAATAATCCATGGAAGTAGAAAAAATATCCGATGGTACCGTACTCATGGAAGTGCTGGCTCGACTAAGACCCAGAACGAGATTCTGGTGGTTGGTACACGAGGACGACCAAGAACCTATCACGAGTTCTTGAACCGAGCTGAAAAATACATAAGTACTGAAGAAGTAACCTCTGATCAAGAGGAAGCCAGGTGCGATCTTGACCTTAGCAATATGGTAAAAGAGAAAAAGTCGAATAACGGTCCTCAGCACGAAAGAAAAAAAGGACAGGAGAGAAAGAGAACATCACAAGGCTCAGTCGCATAAATTTAGAGAATACCACCTACTCAAAGCCTTCTTAGAAGAAGTATTCATGCAAACTAGTAAAAAAAGGCATTCCATAGGCCGGTGACCCAAAGAGCGGGCAGGCAGGACACCACCAAGGACGATACTGTTGATATCACAAGATGGTGGGTCATGACACTGATAACTGCAGAGAATTGAAGGAGGAAATTGAGTTCTTAATCTGAAGAGGTCGGCTACAAGAGTTTGTTGCCGAACAAAAAACGGATCGACCTCCTCCGTAGCAACCATTGCTATAGGGACCTCCTGCATGAGCTCAGCAGACAATTCACAATTGTAATCCACCCCCACGCGTCAAAATCAAGATCATGCCAAACTACGAAGATCAAACTCCTCAGATCGGTACAGACCCTCAATGGTTTTGGTTCACGGAGGAAGATTCTCGAGGAGTCCTCCAAAACCAAAGTGACATCCTAACGGTCACCATGGCAGTTGCTGGGGCGAATGTTCAGAGGACATTAGTGGATAATGGGAGTTCGGTAAACATACTATATTCACGAACTTTGAGGCAGCTAAAAATATCCTAATGCTACCTTCAACCATACTCAAAGAAATTGCAGGGATTCTCCGGAGACCCTATTGAGGCCCGAGGTCAGATCGTCCTTATTGTAAAGCTGGGTGAAGCCCCTCTTCAAAGATGAATTCTGGTGGATTTCGTGGTAATCGATCTACCGTCCAACTACAATGCAATATTAGGACAACCCATATTGCACGAGCTAAAATCTGCCACATCAATCTATCATTACTGTATAAAGTTCCCTATCCCTCATGGGATCGAGATAGTCTGAAGAGACCAAGCTAGGGCCAGAGCGTACAATATAGACCTACCCAAACCTTAGGGACTATCTTTGCCTAGGACCACATGGACATGAAAGGAATAGACCCTAAAATTGCCTACCACAAATTGCAAATAGACCCCTCAGTTAGCCCGAAACAGTAAAAACGACAGTCCCTGAATCCCGAAAGATATGAAGCACTCAACAAGGAAGTGCAGAAACTGTTGCACAATAGTTTCCTTCGAGAGGTGAAATACCAAAAGTGGGTCGCAAACTCGATTCTTGTAAAAAAAAACACAATGGAGATTGGAGATTTCAAGCGACCTAGGGATTACCAGTTATCCTTTAACCAAAAAGAGGCAGATCCACATCCCTACACAGGAGTCCTGGTAATCTCATTACCTATCGCTGAAGTAACCATCCCAAAAATTTTAGTGGATACAGGAAGTGCTCTCAACATTCTCTTCAACAACACCCTCAAGTGGATGGGTATATCTGCCAACTTCCTACGACCATACTCAAATATGGTCCTTGGACTAAGCGGAGCCCTGACCTCGGCTAAAGGATTGATCAAGCTCAAAGTTGAGTCTGGATTGACACCTCGTCAAGTAAAGAAAAACTCTGAGTTCTTGGTGTTCGATACTCCGTCACCTTATGACGCCGTCATGGGGCAACCATTGATATTTAGTTTGAAAGCAGTGGAGTTACTATACCACTATTCAATTCAATTTCCCACTCCCTATGGTGTGGGAGAAGTCAAAGAAAACAGGGAGCTCGTTGACACGTGTCAATTAAAAGCCTACGGCCCCCGTCTGTGTAACCTCTTGGGAGTGCATATGGCTCACGTATGGGATTCCGAACTCAGTTCACTAGACCAGCGGATCAAAATCGAAGGGGAAAAACTCGTCGAAGAGTTGGAAGGAGTCCAAGTTTGTGCAGATGACTTGTCAAAAGAATTGAAAATCGGACGCAAGCTGCAACTCCCCATCAGAAGTGAAATTGTGGCTTTTCTCAGACAAAACCTTAATGTATTTGTCGGGGACCACAGGGACATGAGAGGAATAGACCCCAAAACTACCTGCCACAAATTGCAGGTAGACCCCTCAGTTCGGTCAAAACAGCAAAAACGACGGTCCCTAAATCCCGAAAAATATGAAGCACTCAACAAGGAGGTGCAGAAACTGTTGCATAGCAGTTTCCTTTGAGAGGCGAAATACTGAAATTGGGTCGCAAACCCCGTTCTTGTAAAAAAAACACAATGGAGATTGGAAGGTATGCATAGACTTCACCGACCTCAACAAAGCGGGCCCCAAAGACAGTTTTTCCCTACCAAGAATAGATCAAATGGTGGACGCCACTTCAGGACACGAACTACTCATTTTCATGGATGCGTATTCTGGCTACAATCAGATACCAATGTACGGCTCAGATCAGGAACATACCTCATTTGTGACTAATCGAGATCTTTACTGCTACAAAGTAATGCCCTTTGGACTCAAAAATACCGAGGCCACCTATCAACGACTTGTGAACTCCATGTTTTCCCAGCAGATCGAAAAAACAATGAAAGTATATGTTGATGACACGTTGGTTAAAAGCGCCAAGGCCAAAGACCACTGCATGTACCTGGCCGAGATGTTCGATATCCTGAGAACATATGGAATGAAGTTGAACCCAAAGAAGTACACCTTCGGGGTGAGCTCTGAAAGATTCCTAGGTTACAGTAAACAACTGAGGAATCGAAGCAAACCCCGAAAAAATACGAGCTGTTATCCAAATGAAGCCTCCAACCAAACCTAGAGAGGTACAAAGTTTAACCGAGAGGATCGCCGCCCTCAGCCAGTTCATCTCTTAGTCTACAGACCGATGTAAACCCTTCTTCGACACACTACGGAAAGAAAGAAGTTTGAATGGACCGAGGAACGCCAGGAAGCCTTTAACGAGTTAAAAAGACAGCTAGCCCAGCCTTCACTACTCTTAAAACCAAAGGCAAACGATGTCCTGAAACTATATCTATCTGTTTAAAAACACGCCATTAGTGCCATACTGACCCAAGAGGAGGTCGACGTTCAGCATCCAGTCTACTATGTAAGCAAGGTGCTCCATGAAGTAAAGCTTCGGTACTCGCCCATGGAAAAATTGGTATTCGCCTTGTTGATGGCAGAACGGAAACTAAGGTCATATTTCCTGGAACACCCCATTGAAGTCCTCACAAACTCTCCATTGAGACAAACGTTGCAAAGGCCCGACATTTTAGTTCGGATGGTAAAATGGACGGTGGAGCTCGGACAATTCGACATAAAGTACATACCCCGCTCCTCTGTTAAGGGCCAAGCACTCGTCGACTTTGTCTTTGAGTTCTGCAGAGGGCCAGTCGAGGAACCGCCAAAAGAAACACCTTGGGAACTTTATGTTGATGGTCATCTACGGAAGAATGATTCGGGCTAGCGTTGTATTGGTCAGCCTGGAGCAACGCATATTCTGTAAAGCTCTACCGTTTGACTTCAAGGCATCAAACAATGAGGCTGAATACGAGGCTCTCATCGTCGGAGTAAGGATGGCCTCAAGGTTGGGAATCTCCGAACTAATCATACACAGCGATTCCTAGCTAGTCGTGAATCAGATCAACAGTGTATATTAGGCGAAAGAAGAGAGAATAGACAATTACCTACGGGATGCAAGGAAAGAGCTCAAATGCTTCAATACCATCCAAATCAAGCAGATTTCCCAATCTCAGAATGGCCACGCTGATGCCCTGGCTCGCCTAGCAACTAGTGAGGGAATTGAAGAATTCGATAGCATCCCCATGGGAAGAATATCCCTACCCGTCACCGAATTAGCTGAAGTGGCCCTTATGATGATAGATCCCAAACCAACCTGGCAGGATGAGATCATCACACACCTGAAGACCGAAAAATGCCCCGAAAACTCGGTAGAAGCCATAAAGCTCCGAATCAGGTCAGCTAGATACACACTTATCAATGATGTCCTCTACAAGCGGGGATATTCTACACTCTTGCTCAGATGCTGGAGTAAAGAAAAAGCCCAACATGCCTTGTGAGACGTTCATAAAGGAATATGTGGAAATCATTTTGGTGGGCAATCCTTGGCCCACAAAGATCATATGTCAAGGGTACGTCTGGCCTGAAATAAGACACGATACCCTCGAATTCATTAAAAGATGTGACAAGTGTTAGCATCTCGCCCCTATCATAAACACTCCACCGTGTGAACTGAACTCGATGACGACACCCTAGCCCTTTGCGAAATTTGGGGTCGACCTGATCGAACCTATGCCTACTGGAAGGGGAGGTGTGAAATTTGCAATCGTTGCAGTGGATTATTTCACTAAATGGGTCGAGGCCGAACCACTTGCCAAGATCACCGAACAAAAAACGTTTCTCTGGAAATCCATCATTGTAGGTTTGGCATACCTCACTCCATTGTAACTGACAATGGAAAATAGTTCGACAACGCTCACCTTTTAGACTTCTGCCAAGAGTTCGACATCAAGAAACATTTCTCAACTTCGAATCATCCACAGGCAGACGGCCAAGTTGAAGCCATCAACAAAATTATTAAACACACATTGAAAGTAAAACTTGATGTGTTAAAAGAGGATGGGCCGAAGAATTCTCTAGTGTGCTGCAGTCTTATCGCACTACTACAAGGACAAGTACGGGAGAAACCCCATTCTCACTGGCGTTTGGTGTAGAGGCTGTGATCCCACTGGAGGCCAGCATTCCCTCACTTCACATAATTGCCTATGACGAAGAAAAGAACAATATGGCTCTTCATACGAAACTCGATCTCGCCAAAGAAAAGAGGAACAATGCTGAACTAAAAAATGCAATTTACAAGCAACAAAACGCCAAGTATTATGACAAAAAAGGATGAAGGAGAGAATTTGGTGTGGGATCCCTAGTCCTACGAAAGGTGTTTCTCGCCGCAAGGGAGGCTGGCAGCGGATGATTGGGACTGAATTGGGAGGGTCCCTATCTGGTAACAAAGATCCTGCCAAGAGGGGAGTATGAACTGAAATACCTGTGGGTAAACCTCTACCCCACCCCTAGAACGCCGAACACCTTAGGCAATATCACCAGTGAATGCAAAGAGTCTATGACACGCGAACCCACTTATAATGCTAACCATATCAATAAAAATGACTCCTTATTTTGAACATTCAATTCAGCATCTGGTCAAAATTTTACAAAGCCCTGCTTCATGTACAGGCCGAGCTAAGGTTGTATGTGCTACAATACTTAGACGAAATCTTTCCTAAGAAATTCTCCAAAGACCTACCCCGTACGTAGGCCGAGCTAAGATTGTATGTGCTACAACTCTTAGATGAAATTCCTCCCAAGGAATTCTCCAAAAACCTGCTTCATATGCAGGCTAAGCTAAGGTTATATGTGCCGCAACACTAGACGAAATTTCTCCTAAGGAATTCTCCAAAAACTTGCCTCGTACGTAGGTCGAGCTAAGGTTGTACGTACCACAACTGTTAGACGAAATTTCTCCTAAGGAATTCTCCAAAAACTTGCTTCATATGTAGGCTGAGCTAAGGTTGCATGTGTTGCAACACTTAAATGAAATTCTTCCTAAGGAATTTACCAAAGACCTGCCCCGTACACAGGCCGAGCTAAGGTTGTATGTGCTACAACTCTTAGACAAAATTCCTCCTAAGGAATTCTCCAAAAACCCGTTTCATATGCAAACTGAGCTAAGGTTGCATGTACTGCAACACTTAGATGAAATTCCTCCTAAGGAATTCTCTAAAGACCTACCCCATATGCAGGCCGAGCTAAGGTATATGTGCTGCAACACTTAAGACAAGATCTCTCCTAAGGTTGATCTAAGATTGTAAGCAAGGCGTTAGTTATGTATATCCACCTAAGTTCATAAAATATTGCCATAATTAAAATGAGATCCTTGTCAAAGAAACCATGTAAAACAGGAAGATCCATCCATTCTAGACAAATTATCATAAAATATATCCAAAAGAGATCGCAATGTAATACAAGTAGTCAAAGCAACATCTCAAAACACCAAACAATGTCTCTGAAATATTAAAAAGAAATTATCCTAGGAGGGACCAGGGAAAAGAGGATCTTGGAGAATTAGGGTGCTGTCCTTAACATCTTGATCAGTCGGGGATATTCGAACTCCCGCAGTAATAGATAATCTCCTCAGCTCTTCTTTCTGCTCCCCCAACGCCTCATCCAAGAAAGCGGCATCAAAGTCCGACCTCTCTCTCCGGATATGTTTTATCAGCTCCTCCAAGGCCACTATGTAGGCATCCTAGGCTAGGGCATCAAACTCTGGAGATTCCCTCCAAATCTCCATAGCCTTGATGGCCTTAGCCTCTGCCTCTTCCGTCCTCTTCATTGCCTCCCTAGTTCTCATATTGGCCTCCTCTACTTTCTCCATAGCCTCCCTTGTATGAGAACACTCCACGGCCACCACAACTCACAGCTCCTCTGCCCGAGCTCTCTTTTCATCCGCCTTCTTCCTCTCCACCTCAGCCAGCTGGCTGGCTTTTCCACCCCAATTTTTCAGAACCTTGATCTCCTCCTGCAGCCTCTCCTTCGCATCCAGTCTGGAGTTAAGCTCTTCCCCCATCTTGTTCAATTTATCCTCATACTCCTTCTCTCGAGTAGCAAACTGAGCTCTCTCCCTCTCCATGCCTCGGTAGAGGTTCAGCGCTTGGTCTTTGGCTTCCATCATTTTTTCAAGCTCGACTTTTAGCTAAACAAAAATCAAAGAAGTCAGTAAGACCCGAGACATTTCATAAACTGGTGAAATTCAAAGTCTGAGAGCCTGGATATAGGTACCTTGTTAGCTACGATCATCGTGTACAAAATGGACCAGTGGCTATGGAGCTGAGCAGTGACGATCGCTTCTCCAAGCGGCACCTCAGCCAAAAAACCCTACTCCCTCTCATTCCAGCTCCTAGTCTGGAGATTGGCAGAGTCACGCAATGAAGGAGCTAGGGCAGCCATTGTCTCCCTGGAAGGGAAGGGAGCCCGTAAAAAATCCAACAGAATCTTAGGCCTGCGACCCAGTAACCCATCCAAACTCGATGTCTACAGATCGGGACATCTCTCCTAAGATCGAAAAGAGCTTTCAACTGTAATGGAAGAAGCAGCAGAGATTGGCACCTCGAGGTTCGGTGATAGTAGCGTGGGGACAACCTCCGGAGCGG